TGAAATATCGCGATATTTCAGTGTATCGATATTTTCTTACACCCCTAGTAAGAGCAGAACAGTTATTTCCTCTTTTCTTCAGATACTTGTAGTTTTTGTGTAAATCTTTGACCTCCTGCTGTTTCTGCTCGAACACCTGTTTTTTTTTTTTTTCATTTCCTGCAGGTTCTATGCTGCTGAAATATGCATCGCTCTGAATTTCCTCCATGAAAAGGGCATCATCTATCGAGATCTGAAGCTGGACAACGTTCTGCTGGACCACGACGGACACATCAAACTCACAGACTACGGCATGTGCAAGGTAAAGAAAGCCCTCACGTCCTGCAGAAGGAGCTTTCCGTGTCCTCACCGTCTCGTGCCCTGCAGGAGGGGATCAGACCGGGCGACACCACCAGCACCTTCTGTGGAACCCCAAACTACATCGCACCTGAGATCCTCCGAGGAGAGGACTACGGTGAGCTCTCAGCTTTCAGCACTGTGGGTCTGCTTACAGCCCCCTGCAGATGATCTGCTCTGTTCACGCTTTGGTCCTTTTTCATTTTAAAAACAGATATTCAATTAACAGTTATTCTGTTTTCATTTTATAACAGCAAAACTTTTATTTTTNACACAAACACAGATGGAAAATTCAGACAACTTGAGAGCAAAAATTTGGCTCTGTTTAAATCATTTAAGGTGGAGCTGGTCAAATAACTTTTTAAAAACATGCGTCTGGTTACATAATAATAAATAGACAAACACTAGCTAACTAGTTCTACATTTCTTAAACTAACTGCAGACTGTATTTGTTATTATTAGTCTGGCTAATTTCTTTTAAAATCTATTTATCTGGCTCCACCTTAAATAGTCTTACTTTATTATTTATTATAATTATTTTTGTTATTTATTATAATAGTTCATTATTTTACTTAACCAGCGAACCATACAATAAAAAACGTTACCTTTGGCTAACCAGACAATAATAAACGTTAACATTGGCTAGCCAAACAATAAATAAATGTTAGCTTTAGCTAACGAGACAATAAGTAACGTTAACTTTGGCTAACGAGACAATAAGTAACGTTAGCTTTGGCTAACCAAACAATAATAAATGTTAGCTTTGGCTAACCAGAAAATAATAAATGTTAACTTTGGCTAACCAGACAATAAATAGACATTAGCTTTGGCTAACCAGAAAATAATAAATGTTAACTTTGGCTAACCAGACAATAATAAATGTTAACTTTGGCTAACCAGATAGTAAATAGACGTTAGCTTTGGCTAACCAGACAATAATAAATGTTAACTTTGGCTAACCAGACAATAATAAATGTTAACTTTGGCTAACCAGACAATAAATAGATGTTAGCTTTGGCTAACCAGACAGTAAATAGACGTTAGCTTTGGCTAACCAAACAATAAATAAATGTTAGCTTTAGCTAACGAGWCAATAAGTAACGTTAGCTTTGGTTAAGCAGACAATAATAAACGTTATCTTTTAAACGTTAGCTTTGGCTAACGAGATGATAAACGATAGCTAGCTAGTCTGACATTTCTTCACCAGCTGTCAGTTGATGATTCTGGAGCTTTTATCTCATGAAGCTTTTCTCCAGCAGGTCCGTGATGATCCAGGTTCCACAGGACAGCACTGAGTTGCCATGACAGCAGTGTTAAACTTCCTGTTTGGGAAAAATAAAAAGATGTTTTCCTGTTTTTAGAGTGAAAATACAAAATGAAAAATAAAACCTTTTTGTTTTTCTGTATCTGTTTTTAAAACGGCCAGAAGGACCTGTTAGTGGTTCTTGGGGTCCCTGAAAGGTGGTCCAGCTGTCAGACCTCTCTGATCTGGACCTCAGCTCGTTCACACAACATTTTATTTTTGTGTTCATGAAGTCCTTGACGTTCCGCTCTCCCCCTCCCCCCTCCCTTCTGCAGGCTTCAGCGTGGACTGGTGGGCTCTGGGGGTCCTGATGTTTGAGATGATGGCTGGGAGGTCTCCGTTCGACATCATTACAGACAATCCTGACATGAACACTGAGGAGTACCTGTTTCAAGGTAAACTCTGCCGCCTTCAGACTCCGCCTTCTTACCTGACGATCAGCCACCTGTGGAGTCATCAGAGCCCCGCCCCTTTACTGGGTTTATTTCCTGTTTCTGTTTGTTTCTGTTTCCTGATGTCAGAGTTCAGCTCAAAGATCCTCAACAGTCAGGTCCAGCAGCAGGTTTATTACAGGAACACTGAGGATGAGGAGGATGGAGACGATGAGGAAGGAGATGATGAAGATGATGACGATTGAGATGATGAGGATGGAGACGATGAAGATGAGGGTGGAGACGAAGAGAATGATGAAGATAGAGATGAAGATGAGACGACGATGATGATGATGTTGAAGATGGAGACAATAAAGACGATGATGAAGATCGAGATGAAGATGATGGAGACAATGAAAATGAGGAAGATGAAGAAAAACACAAAGATGAAGAAGACAGTGAAGATGAGACAGAAGGTTGAGATGAAACCAGAAAAATAAAACGATAAAGACATAAAAGAAAATGATGAAGATAAAGATGAAGTAGAAGATGATGAAGATGAAACCAAACAAAATAGACTGAGACAAAAATTCAGCTAAAAAACAGAAAAAATGATGATGAAGACAAAGAAGTAGGTGAGGAAGACAATGATGAAGAAAACAAACACAGGGATTATTTTGTCTGGATACATTTTCTCCTGATGCTCATTTTTTATCCTCCAGGTCTTAAACTGAACGTTTGTGTTTCAGAGAATTTGAGGAAACATCAGTTTTCCTCAGTTAACCGAGCAGAAACTTCCCTTTGATTGGTTTTAATCCAGCAGCACCAGTAAAGGTTTGAGTCGTTGCTGAGGTTTCTCCAGAAGCGTGGAGCGTTTGGCAGAACACCGTGGCCTCGGCTGCAGATGACGTCAGCTGCACACAAGGAAGTGTTTTCTTTATGAGCTTGTTTGGTTTGGCAGCTGACAGATAATTACACCGAGCCGCCTCAGGAACTCGCCTCTGTCCTCACATTTATGAAGTTTGCTTTTAAAATCAAGAGTGAGACGATCTGATTCCTGCAGGAAGCTGTTTGAAGGAGAACCGAGCAGAGAAACATCACGTTCTCATGTTTCCTACAACCATATGGTTTCAGCCCGGGTCTCCTCCTCCTCCTTGCCTCACGCCGTCCACGGCTGCAGAAATCCCTTGGCACGGCGGCGTGACGCACTTGGTTTCAGGAACATATAGCGAGCATCTGTCACCGGTACCGTGCTCCTGGCGGTCCCGCTCGTGGATCAGCAGGTTCCTGGACCGACGTCTGCCAACGGAAACCGGTCCATTGGCCGTACGGACCACCGACCATATGTCACTGAGCCGGACCCGGTGCCAGAGCCGCGCTCTGTCAGCTCCTAAARCCAAGAGCCAGGCCCGAATCGGATCTATAAAGAGACATTTCTATTAAAATAAAGTTCACCTGTAATTTAACAAAGTGTTCAGTGTGAATAAAGCTTATTATTTTACAGTTTAACTGTATAAATAAAATAATAATCATAAATTATTACTACTTTTACTGCAAATTTAAATAAAACCACTTTTTATTTAAAGTCATTATTAAAATATTCCAACATTTTATCTCTTTTAAACTAAAACTGCACAACTTTAATCAGTTTGTGTTTTCTTGGATGTTTATTTACCTTCGTTAGAAACACCTTGTTGTCGTTGTCGTCGTCGTCGTCGTCGTCGTCGTTGTTGTTGGACTGAACTGAACCAAAGTGTGTTTAAAAATTTCCAGACCTGTTTTCTAATAGATGAGCATTAAAGAGGATTAGGACCACTGAGAATAAATATTAACTATAATGACTTTAATCTCAGAATTTTGACTTCTTTTCCTCAGAATTAGGAAAAATATTCTGATTTTAATCTTAGATTTAAAGTCAGATTTCTGACTTTAATCTTAGATTTCTGACTTTAAACTTAGAATTCTGACTTTAATCTCAAAATTCTGATTTTAATCTTAGATTTCTGACTTTTTTCCTCAGAATTAGGAAAAAAAATCTGAATTTAATCTCAAAATTCTGGCTTTAATCTCAGAATTCTGACATTTTTCCTCAGAATTAGGAAAAATATTCTGATTTTAATCTTAGATTTAAAGTCATAATTCTGACTTTAATCTTAGAATTCTGACTTTAATCTCAAAATTCTGACTTTGATCTCAAAATTCTGACTTTGATCTCAAAATTCTGACTTTGATCTCAAAATTCTGACTTTAATCTTAGATTTAAAGTCAGATATCTGACTTTAATCTCAGAATTTTTTTTTCTCTGTGGCCCTAATCCTCATTCGTAGATGATCCATAAACATAAAGTGTTGTTTTGTTTTTGTTTTCAYAAACAGTGAAATAAACATCTCGGAGCCACACAGATAAAAACAACTTAAACTAAAGTTTCATTCGTGCCCACCGGTCCTGCCTCCTTCTATCAAAGCCTCAGAAACTGCAGAAAGATTCAAGGTTGAGTTTTTTCTTTAAGATGCTGATCTGATGCGTCTTTTGATCTGTTTTACCAGTAAAAACAGGAGCAGTAAACTGTGGCTGGATGCAGCTGACGGTCATGTGAACAAACCAAAACATAAAATCAGACCACCATAAACCCCTCCAGGACTCACTGCGGCTTCATTTTGTTTGAAAATATCCAAACGTTACACTTCTCTCTGAATGTCATCACTTGAAGCTTGAGTTTGTTTTTCTGCGTATTTGTGACACAGAAGTTAGTATCTGCAGTTTGAAGTGTTAAAATGTGACCAAAGAAGAGAATAAGTCCTCTGACTCCCACGCAGCAGACATGGTCACCCACAGGCAGGTTGGCCGCTGAATCATCCACCTCCTTACTCACGACTGCCCTTTTATTGTCTCCTTCCCTTTTCTCCTCTCGCCGCCCTTCTTTTCCTTCGCAGTGATTCTCGAGAAGCCCATTCGCATCCCAAGGTCTCTGTCTGTGAAAGCTGCCAGCGTGCTCAAGGGCTTTCTGAACAAGGTGAGAGCGGTCCACTCCCATCAGCCCTCTTTTGTTGGGCTCTGTGTGAATCTGTGAGCTCAGATCACCGTGTGTGGGAACACAGCAGCAATAAAACAACGTTCGGCTCCAAACATTTCAGTTTTTCTGCTTTCTTTTTGTGTTAGTTGTAAGAAAGTGAAATAAAGATCCATGAACACTGAATGAAACATAAACTGGAAACCATGTGACGTGTCAGGACTACGTTGACCCTCAAATCTGCTCTGGTTTAAGCCCCTAACTGTCCTCTAAACCCAACAGGATCCAAAGGAGCGACTGGGTTGCCAGGTCCAGACGGGCTTCACGGACATCAAGTCACACACATTTTTTCGGAATATTGACTGGGACCAGGTGAGTGCTGAGTGAATAAAAAATGTGTKTAACTGCTGCTTCAGTAAAACATTCAACTGAAATTTAAGATTTAATCTGTCAAAATATGTAAAACAAACTCCTGTAGAGGAGTGAGGAAGGTTGACAATTAAAAAAAAAATGCTGTTCTAAGTCATGTAGGTCTTGGACAAGCTAGGAGTCTTTATCCAAGAAAGTTTGATTTAAGATGTTCTTGATTATTGTTTGATAATTAATGTACAAAATGGTGTCATCGGCGTAGAAGGAAACTCAGGGATTTGATTGTGGCCGTGTCCAAATTCAGGGRCTGGGTCATGTGAAGGAGCCGGCCCACCTGGACCAGGAGGTAGACCTTAGTAGATCGCAAAGACAGGAAAATAGTGTGTCTGTGAATTTGGACGGTCTAGCCTTCTGCTTTGTTCCCGCCCTTTCCCCATCATTCGTCATGTCGCCTAGCAATCATAGCGACACTAAACAGATGCAAAAATAGAATAAAATTAGCAAAATATAAATATATTAGATAAATAATATTATAAGTTAACAAAATTAGCTTAAAGGGATCCCCGATTAGTTGTAACATTAGACTTTATTTAATAAACATGTATTTTAACTTTAAAATAAAGACCATAAAAATTGTGTAGGCTGTTTAGTTTTTATCATTTTTAAACTAAAAGTTTAAAAATATACTGCACAGACGGAGCCATTTTATTTACATGCAAAGCATTCTGGGTAAATGATGACGTGGATAGGTCCTCGGTGCGAGGCTGCTAGCGAGCTATATCCACCCTGAAGGTTAATCTTGGACAATATCTGATGATCGACTTTTTTTTTTAATAAGGATGGCCTCCTTTCTCCCCTTATAGCCATCCCCTCCACACCATTATGTTTTTTTTTTTT